GCGTCTCCCTAGAGCGCCCTCTCGGTCCTGGGCCGGACGAAGAGGGGCGCGCCACAGATTTGGGGACCCCGAATTTGGGGTCAAAGGGCAGTTAGCTCCCTCTTCTCTAGCGGGGCGGAAGAAGTGGTGGAATTCCAGGGAAACCTGGTTTTACAAGGACACCAGGCCAGGGCCTGATTAGCCTGGATGCCCAAGTCCGAAATTTGCTTTCCAACCCCCTGGGGGTGTGTGGGTGGGTGACCGAAGTCAGGAACACCAGCGACACTTTTTTTTTTTAAACAAAACTTTATTGGTAATAGTTTTCAAATATGTTTACAACAGCACACTGTTCAAGAGGAAGTCTCGTCCTTCGCAGCACACAGGTTGAATGGCCCCCACGCCCACCTGGGGCCCCACCCCAGGCCTGAGAGCTCCTCTGGGTTCAGGGAGAAGTTTTGAGAGGGACAAATACGGAGATAAACGGGGTGGCTCCCCATCTTTCTATTGAGAGAGAAAAGCACAAATCAGACAGAGGGCGGGGAGAAGTGATGGACAGCTGACAGCTAAGCTAGAGGAGGGGCACCCAGGATGGGGGGCGCTGAAGCTGCTGGGTGGATAAGACAGGCAGCCTCTCCCCAGCAACCCTGGCCTTGAACTCTGTGTGGTGGGGGACTTTTCCAGGTCCTTTTGTAGGGTTGCCTTCCCAGCTGGGCTGGAAGGAGGCTGGGCATTAAAATCTAGCTGAGAGTAAAATTAAGGAGCTTGGGGTGGGGGCTGCTGCTGGAAGGAGAGACCCTGGGCTTGGGGTTCCCCCTCTATCTTTTTGGGGGACGACTCCTCTTTGGCAGGGAGAGGGGCAGCTGCTTCCTCTGGCTCCCAAAGCTCCAGGGTGAAGAAAGATGTGTTGTTGGGGAAGAGGGCGAGGCTTGCTACAGAGGCTGGGACCCCAGTAAGGAAGGTTGGCAGAAGCCCCCCTCCCCGCCCCCCTGGGGAAGGGGGTGGGGATGTTAGCAGCTCAGGGCAGAGGTTCAAACCCCTGGTCCTTCCTGTTCAGTCAGTCTGCTTCCCAGCCTCCTTAAAATGGTTTTGGGGAGTGGGAGGGGGACATGAGAAGAGTGGGGACAGAGGAAGGAGGAAGGGAGGCACTGGTGGAACTTAAATAAGATTTTAAATCGTATTTTAGAAAAATTCTAGCAAGCAGCCCAATGACATGTCACAAAAAACTGTCCTTCCCAGGCAGGAGGGCCCCACAGAGAAGGCCAGCTCTTCATTCATTTGCCCTTGGTGCCCAGTGCCAGAGGCAGGGTGGGGCTGGGGGACTGGAGTTAAGTTTGGACCCCTCTTTCCTCACCCGGTGCCTGGACACACCAGTAAGACCTGGTCTGCCCGGAGCTGAGAAACTCATTTAAAACTGGCAGAGTGCGCTGGGGTGGAGTTGGACCTGTGGGGGAGGGGCAAGAAGGCAAAGGGAGTGGGGGAGCAGCTGGTGTTTCCATTCCTCCAAATATCTGGGCTTCCTGTTCCCCCTTCCCTGGTGGGTGGGGTGGGGGGTGAAAGTAGATGCAAGGAACTCTGGGGCCCTCTGGCTGTTCAATCCAACCCTCCCACCCCCCACAAAAGAAAAAAAAAAAAAAGAAAAGAAAGACAAGAAAACCCATGGGGGCACAGGCACACCCCTAAAACTCAGCAAACTCCTTGCCACACTTCTCATTGATGGAAACCCGGATCTCTTCCTCCTCATAGTCGTCAAAGTTACTCGTGTCCCCAGGGCCTTTAAACTTTGGTATGAAGGGAGCTTCCACCTGGAGAGGGATCAGAACCACCCAGACCTCAGCAGCCATCACTGTCATCATTACAACAATAAATGCGAACGGCCTAACATTCATGAGATATTTACTTTGACTCAGGTCTGTTCTTAGCTTTATGGTATGAATTCTTCTTAGCAACCCAAGTCTAGAATTATGGCCAACTCAACAAAGGGGAAATTACTTCCCAGAGCAGCATCTCTTGCCCAAGGCCACAGGGTGGCCAAATAACCCCAGGACCCCAGAATTGTATCTCTAGTCTTCCCTGGCTCAAAGCTGCCTAGAGTATACTGATGCTGAACCTGGGGATGATTTTCAAGACCCCCTTCCTTTTCTGTCTCTCCACTGCAGTCCTCCCTGGCTCCTGGCTTCCTCCAGAACCCTCGGCATGCCCGGGAGGGGCTCACCTTTCTCTGGTAGATGGCGATCCAGTCAGTCGTGGCAAACCACTTGTGGTTCTTGATGTCATTGACCCCATTCTTGAGGTTCCCGAAGCGCTTGGTGAGATCCACCTGCAGAAGGTTCCGAAGCAGGTCCTTCAAGTCAGAGCTGAAGTGGGACGGGAACCGTACCTGGAGGTGGGCACAGACAGAATGGGGTGTTGGGGTGGAGCCTGAGAGGCCCGGAAAGCTGCTTTCTCCATTCAGCAGTCCTAGTAGGCAGAGGCCCCCAAACTTGAGTGCCTGCTGGAATCTTGTGAAAACAGCTCTGGGTCCACTCTGGGGTTTCTGATTTAGATCTGGGTGAAGCTGAGAATCTGCATCTCTAACAAATTCCCTGGCCATGCTGGTGCTGCTAGAGCAGGGACCTCTTCCAGAACCTCTGCTCTTAGGCTAGGGCCATAAGGGTTTCCATTTCAGAGAAGAGGAAACTGAGACTTGGAAGGGTTAAATAGTGACCCCAAGGTCACAGGGAGCAATGGGAAGGGTGATTCATTACAGGCCCGTTGGGGTTACATGCTTAGCTGCTGCTTCTGAGCCGTCTCTGTGGGGCTCTTGGGACTTCTGGAAAACTCATGCTTATGAGCAAGACACAGCTACAACTTTTCTGTTTTTTAAGGCCCAGATCAATTCTTCTGGAAGCATTCCCCCCAGTTCTCTGAACCCCACAGCCTTGTATGCAGTCACTGCTTTTATAGCCATAGAACTGACTTCTATCAGCTCCACCTAGGGCTGGAGATAGAGCTCAGTGGTAGAATGCTTGTCTAGCATATGTGAGGTGAGGCCTGGGTTCAATTTCCAGTACTGGGCAACAAAACCAAACCAAACCTGACTTCTAGTCCCTGCTCTGCCTCTCTCATGCTGTGTGACCTTGGCCATGACCCTTAACCTCTCTGGGCCAACGCCTGCCTCTCTGATATGGGGCACACATCCCAGGATTATGTGGAGGAGATAACACCGCTGAGGGTGCGTGGGAACTGCAAAACATTACAAAGAAGGGAATTATGCTCATTTCCCCCTCGTCCCCCCTTGGAATCTCTTTGGACTTTTCTTTTTTCCACTCTGGGCCACCATCTCAGCACTTGCTGTTCTGCCTGGTACTGTCCTTCCCTCTGAGATGCTGAATGTGCTGCTGGCCCAGAGGAGCCCGTGCCGTGGCTGGGACTCCTTCCAACCTCCAGGAGAGGGAGACGGCGGGTTCCCCGGTCCACAGAGAGGTACGATGAGGCTCAGAGGGGCAAACTGACTGCTCAGAGTCTCAGAGCCCACAGGTGGCAGGCCACCAGGCCACCAGGCCACCACCGCCAGGCCAAACAGCGCGGGAACTCCGAGCCAGCCAGGAGCTCTCTGGTGGGAGACGCTGGGCCAGGCCAGAGGCGGCCGGGGGTGAGCGGAGGGCAGCAGTCGGGTGGAGTCCCCAAACTCTGAGTCCCTCAGCACCCACCACCATGCCCCCGTCACTCCGGGAGGAGTGATCTCAGGCCACACGTCCCCTCCTCCTGAGCCTCAGTGTCTCATCCCTCCCACGGGGATGGCAGGTGCTTCACCTGCTCTCGACCTGAGTCAGACAGCTCCAGCATCCCTTACCTGAGCCTCGGTTAGGAGGACTTGGGAAGGAGCTCAGGGGCTCTCTGCCCTACGCCATGGGACGGGCACCTGGAGGGGTCGCGGGCACTACCTGGGAACCAAACACAGTTGCTCTTCTGCTTTGAAACTTGTGAAAATTCACACTGAGGGACACAACCCGAGGCAGGAAGAGCCTGTGTCCGGGTGGCACGCTCTCTGTGGCTGGAGGACACGTGGGGCTCAGGGTTCTGGAAGCCCCTGGGGATCTGCTGTGGTCAGCAGGACAGTCAGGCTGCTCCGGGTGCTGGCCTCCGTGTGGCCGGGGTACAGCTTCAGCCCCTGGCCCGACTTGGTGAGCTTCTAGCTTATTCTGACAACAAGCAGGGACCAGCAGGCGGGTGGGGGGGCTTCCTGTTTCTCTCAAGGTTAAGCCCCCACGCCTGGCCTCACCTTCCCAGAGACGATTTTCTCGTAGATCTGGATGGGCTGGTCAGCGAAGAAGGGCGGGTAGCCAGCGGCCATCTCATAGATGAGAACCCCGAGGGCCCACCAGTCCACAGCCTTATTGTAACCCTGGAGCAAGAGGGAGGGGGCAGGGGGTGAGGGGAGAAGGGTGGGGACGGGGTGAGGGCCGAGTGGGTCTGGGGGAGGGGGAGGGAGCGCCTACTTTGCTCAGGATAATCTCGGGGGCCAGGTACTCGGGGGTCCCACACAAGGTCCAGGTGCGGCCCTTCACGCGTTTGGCAAAACCGAAGTCTGTCACCTGTGGGCACAAGAATGAGCAGTTGGCTGGGAGGGAGGGTCCAAGTCCTGGCCCCCTGAGGCTGCCCCTGGCCTGGCCTGGCCTGGTGGTCACCTGAATGTAGCCCTGCTGGTCAATGAGGAGGTTCTCCGGCTTCAGGTCCCGGTAGATGAGGTCCAGAGAGTGTAAGTACTCGAACGTCAGGACGATCTGCGC